GACAAACATACGGCACTACTTTCTGAACAATAGTACCAAGCATCTGGAGACAACAGAACCATGCCTACAGCCGTGAATCAGAGTTGTTCTCTCTGTAAGAAAAATGGATTTTATATCCAAAAGATAATAGCTTCTATATTGTCCTATCACAGGTGCTGAAGTTAGAGTGTTTGTTAAATCCCAGCTTCACACTAACACATATATGAAGTTGTGCAAATTAACTTCCCTATGGCTCATTATCCTATATCTGAAAAATGAGATTAGCAATGGTACCTCCATCAGAGAGGCTTTGTGATAATTAAATGAAATAATGTCCATTAAGTGAAGAGAGAGCCTGACAAATAGTATATGCTTAATAATGGTGACCACTATTCATAATATTATCTATTCATATTTGATTCCTGTACTACCTGCCCACCTAATTTCAGTCTCAGCACAAAGGCCCTATTTGAGGATAGCAACTGTACATTTTTTTGATGAAGCTCCTTGCCTATGGTGTAGTTGTGATCTGAGTGCATAACTGATGTGAATCAGGGACCCGGGCTAGACATAATATTTTGGATAGAAAAACATCTTTGGAGCTGAAAACCAGACCACTTTCTAAAGACTGAAGTAATTCTCTAAGATTATTTGTAGCAAACTACATATATGCAAGATGTACTGTAAATGGAATTTCTGGGTTGTCATTTTTTTTGAAATATTCAACTTCACAACGTGATGCAAAATTTGTTTTTCTAAGTGGCTGTACCAATTTTTGTACCAGCAATTTATTAGACATCCTATAGAGCCATATGCTTTCCAACACTTGGTTTTGTCTGACTTCTTAATTTTTGTCAATTACATAGGTATAAAATGGTATCTGACTGTGGTCTTGATATACATTTATATAAATGCTAATGAGGTGAGCACATGCCTTTTGCTCATTTTTCTATTAGGTTGTTTGTCTTTTTCTTACTGATTTATAGTGTTTCTTCATATATCTTGAATGCTAGTCCAGTCCTTTGTTAGTTGTATGTATGGCGAAAATCTTCTAGTTTAGATCTTGCCTTTTCACTTTCCTTAAGCTATTACTGATGAAGATCAATTCTTAATTTTAATGTATTGATTTTATTAATAATTTATTTTATGATTAGCACTTTGTATCTTGTGTTTAAGAAATTATTTCTTACACAAGATATGAAAGACATTCATACATATTTTTCTAGTTTTTAAGTTTTGCTTTTAATACTTAAGTTCTTAATTCATCAGGATTTGCTATTTGTAAAAAAAAGGTGTGAGATAAAAATCAAATTTGATTTTTTTCTATATG